GCAGCCAAGGGCTTGGTCACTGAGCCAGCAGGGTGAAAGATTCCTCAGCCCCACCTCCCGGTGACTGTGTTTCGGGGGACACCTGCCACAGAGGCTAGCAGTGGCTGAGCACCCAGAAGTAGCCGGCTGGGCTTTTCTTCCTAGGAATCTCTGGGTGGGCTATAACTCACATCAATGGTTTGGTTAGCAGCCGACAGGATTAATCAGGGACATCACCCAAGCCTCCCAAGTAAGGATTAGGTATTTTCTTATTTTTAATCATGTTTACTCATCCCCAGTTCCGGCCTCGGAAAGCCCTTGTCCTCACTCTGGACAGGTAGAGGACACCTGATCCAATCCTGAAGACGGACGTTTGGCGTGGAGTGGGGAATAGGAAAGATGGGAAGGTGCCCCTGGAAGGGCAGAAATGGTGTAAGTTAAAGTTTAGCTCACAGCGAACATACCCAGTGTACAAGGGGTAGGCTGTTTGCCCTTGGAAGAAATGGATACCAGAAGCAGTGGGAGAGACCTATGGGAGCACCAAGCTAAGGATTGGGGGTTTTCTTGTGCAGCTCAGAGAGTAAGTCCCATCATTAGCTGGAGGTAGCTGAGATCCCTTTAGGCAGTAAAAGGGTAAGGTTTTGTGTGCATGCAAAATACCCGGAGGTTCTGCTTAAGTGAGTCCAAGTCAGTTTGGGGTGAGCATAAGATTGTGCCTCTCTGGAGGACAGGTAGCATTTGAGGAGAACCTCCATCCAGGTCGACGGGCTACCCTTTGAGTAGCAAGTATTGATGTGTACAGTGTCAGCCTTTTTGACCCCTCATAGCCCCACCCGGACGGGATCATACTCCTTTACCTAAACCCCATCACCCCACCCCACCCCACACACACACACACTTCCTAATGCAGATGAACATACACTCCTCTTTTCCAGTCTGGGTGGGACACAGAACAGGTAAGAGTACAGGCCATTAAACTGGATTAGAGGTTGCTGGGAGACCCTGGTGAAACAATATTTCAGTGCAGGACCGCTAACCTTCTAGTCTGTGGTTGGCATGCACCAGTCATGCCATGGGGGAAAGAGAGGCAGTTCTACTCAGTCCCACAGGATGCCGATGGCAGCACACAACAGCAGGTCTCTCTTGCTCTTCTCAGGACACAGCAGGAAGCCTCCAGCCAAGTGGACACTTTTCTTGGCCAACTTTTTGAGGACAGGGTGTACTTCTACCCTAATGATCCATCCCAGCACCCAGAGATCCCTGAGCACGTATCCAATACTTGTTCATTCTCAGGACAGGAACTTGTGTGGTTCTTCGCTT